CAACTCTGATAACATTGCATAATCTCATTAAACCATTTCCCAAGCAGTAGTTGTTTCAAAGAGTTATAACCATAATAGTTTTCTAGGAGAATATAACTTGTAATACATTGTTAGATAGAGAAAAGACCAGTCTTTCTGAATGTTCAAAAATATACAGGGTGATTGGGTGATTCAATGAAATAAAAAAGTTGCCCTATACCTGGTTTATTGCTTGTTTGTTTCCGGTAGAACCGGGAGTTCAAGTGAGAAGATGAATACGCCAAAAAAAACTTGAAAAACATCAAAATAGACTAGTCAAAACCGCACAACGATAACTTGAATGGTTTCAGAGATATGATCATTTGAAATGGGTCAGAATATAACTGGCCACCCGGTATTTTGAACATAGGAAGAATCGCTGAAATTTCCTGCGTCATAATCTTCGTTGACATTGCCAAAATTTGGGTCCTCTTCGTCAACAGTTATGTTTTTGGAACTTACTTTTGTTTTGCTGCAGTAATGCTTGTTGTATCTGTCACTCAATATGTTATTATAGTATGTGTTGAAGTTCATTGTCATTACAATTAAATATCTACGTTTCTTTCCCCATACTCCAACTGAAATATGGACGTTAATAAACACCAAGTATACACATCCTGATATTCCTGATGCTTTTTAGGGTAATCTACTGTAAATATTGGTGACACGTAAAAAACAAATTTTTGAGATTCCTATATATGTAATAGACCGAGTTAAGCGAGGTATAGGTTACTGATGCGAAGTGTATTTTGCCCTAAAATGTCCATCATAATTATCTTGATATCATGATCCTGAGAAAATTAGCTTAGTTCAAATTTCAATTAGGAAAAAGTCGAATGGAATGGAATGGCCACAAAGAGAGAGTTCCTCAAAGTCAATACCACGTTAGTTCATGAAATGAACGAAAATAGTAGATAACGAGAGGAAAACAACTACTTTCCTGGCTATATGCCACTCATAACATTGAATTACATCCTCCCGATATCTATGCAACGATTCGTGAGGACGAATACAGCTGCAAGTGATTATTTCCTAAATGCTGAGCTGTGCCCAAATTGTTCATTAACGCTAGATTACCTACAGACCAGTTTCGAGCTTTGGGCTCTCATCAGTGCAGGGTGTCTCCAGATGGCATTCTCGACCGCCATCTGGTGCGAACCTGATCAAACACAAACACATTCCAGCATTTAATACCCACGAGGCGTTCGGCGTCTGCGAGATGGTCACGAACGCCACCTGAGTAGAAAGAGTGAAACACACCAAAACGAATTTCCATTTTAGAGACTGGTTGCATGACTGGCTTTTTTTAACTAGGAGAAAGGGAGAAAGCGAGCCGTGTCGCTTACAGCCGGCCAATGATCTCTCGACGCTATTCCCCCACTCCTACTTAGCTGCTAGCCCCTCCCCCAACTGCCACGCAGCTGCTAGTCCTGAACGCGGCCGAATACTTTGCCTATGTATTGATTTGCAATGAAGGCAGGGTATGTGGTCACTGCATAGTTGAAATTATATGTCGCATTGGGGAAAGAGCATGGAAACACCACTGATTGGATTTTATGAGCACCCACAAAGCCGCCTGATTACAATTTGTAATTGCAACATATTGATTGTAGTCATTTTCATTTCAATAGGCTATGCGAGCAGATTTTAAACGTTCAAAATGGTGATTACAGAAATACAGGATGTGTGAATCAAACATAAAAAAAAGTTGCAACTACGCAATCGGAGTAGGTATACTCATATAGGTCGGTTTGAAAAGGTATCTAAATGTCTACCTAAATGTAATGATATTATTTGTACGGATCATTGATTTCAATAATGAATAATGCCAATCGTCATTTCCTATGATACATGATTAACTGGATAATTCAATTAAATTTATTAATTTATATCTAAAATAATTATCGAAAGTGAAATTTATCGCGAGGAATGCAGGTTATTATATGTATAGGCAAGTGTATACGTATAAATACTTATAAATCCTCATTGGAGCATTATCAGAATCATTTCTAGCCAAAATTGTGAATCTGATTGAGCGTATGCGAGAATGGTTGTAGAAAAAATGCGAAAATTTTTAAATTATGTAAATATCAGTCCTTGGCTCGTATCAAAATTATTGTAATTGTTTCAGTTTCGAATAAATTGTCAACTAGGTATATTAGGAATATGATTTTTCCTCAAAATCCTCGATTGTATCAGTGATTTCATCAATAGTTATGCATCTGCAGGTAGGATTATTTCAAAACTAAGAAAAAGAGACTAGTAAGTAGTAAGGGGCTTCAAAAAATGGATCAAAGATCTAGGGAAAATAATCAGAAAGTATTCATCAGCTATGATTCCTCAACAAAATGTGTCGGTTTTTCCTCGGTTTCTTCAGTGCTTTTTTTTCAATCGACATGGGTATATTGTATATGTGGTATTAGAAATGAAAAACATCTCTGACCACCCTGTGTGCCCGGCAAAAAACGGTCCAACTTTCTCATATCCCGCATAATTACCAACCATATGGTGAGTGTATTTTGTGTTTCATCGTACATCGTATACCGTATGTGAACGCAGACTGTAATGAAAATAACGGCTGTCTATGACTATAAAAAGCGGTTTCGCTTTTGTGTTGTTGGTAGCTTGTCATTCGCGGTTTTGGTTTTGTTTCGATATCCATGTCACTCTCACGTTGCATTTCGTAAAAAAAATACCGGCGATGTTAACCTAGTTTAGATTCATAAAAGTATTAAGCAGGCTCTGATTTCATCGGTGTCAAAATACACAACACATTTGCAGGTCTGGATTTGTCTAGTTTTTGTTTGTATGATTCTTTTGCGAATGCCTGACCCTCCTTGTAACATGAGCAGAATTCATTTCGATGGGTACTCAGGGGTCGAAAGTCGAAAGACTGTTTTCTCTATTGTGGGGCCCCTTCTTTGTGGAGGCCCGGGGGCTATCTTCCCTAAATCCGGAAGATGTACATACATCACTTAATCGAGATATTGAACTAAAATGTTAAGAGTTCGAAAAAATACCCATTCCATGCAGTGCAAGGTAAGGTAAGTCACCACAATGATTAACGTTATTCTGCAGATATATATTGTTATTCCGGCCCTGGCAAAGAGCAGCGAAAATTGATATTTTACGGTTAGTGGAAATCTTTATTCGAGAACTTTATGGCTCAGTTCACTTGGCTCAGTCAATACGATGACGGCATATTTTTATATGTATATTACGCAGAAAATCATAATCATCCTCGCGTTTGTTGTAAAATCAATTCCACGGCTTATGAACACGTTCTCTGTCGAGAAATCTTGCTAAACAAATTAATGAGATCATTTTTATCTGTTCATAGTTAAGGACAACCATTCTTCGAAGCCGTTTTTTCCTTGGAAAATTGATATTGTACAAGTTAATCATTACGTAGTATAGCTATAATTATCTCTTATCCTTCTTATAAATTGTAGATTGCACTTTTTGCAGTTTATACGCTGCCCCTTCCTGGACATGGAGACGACCTTTCTCAATAAATACAATTCGAATCCACAATACAATCAAAAATTCTCTCAGGTATCCTGAACTCGATCAAATTGTTATGAGGAATCAGATTCGAGAATCGGACAACCTCTCCGGAAACCATATTTTATACGAGTACTTGGTGTAAGACACTATATCGTCTCTTTGTATATGCCTCAGTAGTCTGGGGCCACACAGCTAAATCTCATATCACCAGATTACAAACATTACAAAACAAAATCGCGAGAATGGTGACAGGATCTCCTTGGTATGTTCGGAATAACCAGATCGCCAGGGATCTGAAACTCCCATCAATCGTGTCAGTCATTAAAGAACGAAACATCAAGACTTTCGAAAAAGCTGAGGTTCATGAGAATCAGCTTCTTCGAAATGCAGTTGATTATGACCCAGGTGATCAATCAAAGTTCAAAAGACCGAGATTGTCCATAAACTAGGGAAAATATCGACATTATGACCAAATTTACTATTCTCAAGTTTATGATATTTATGTATTCCGTTCGATCTCTTTCAATTCTCAGAATGTATTTCTGAAACTTATTTGGGACAGAAGGGCTGTTCGCATCAAACTTCAATACCGTTTTTATTTTGTTCCATAATAGATATCAGGATAAGAGGGACTCTTCCCTGGTCTGAATAAAATAAAAGAAAGATCCAATATATATATATAAAAAGCATTGTAAAGTTTTTCGAACATCATTCACCATTTTATTCGAGCTAGATAAATAGCTCTTCCTGAAGATCCTGATCAGAATAATAGAACAAAACTATTCAGCTATGCTATGGCAATAGCATAATTGAATAAGCGTGATGAAAACAACATTTTGTAAAAAAAAATTTACAGATGAGCTATTATGAAAATGCACACAAACACACACACATATATAAGCCATCACAGCCAGACACCGGTACATGTGAAACTGAATAAAAACATGTAATTGTAAAAATATCCGAGAACAAACCCCCCACATACCATTTTTTAATATAATCGGATCCTAATCACAAAACTCATCCGTCGTTTTGAAGCCGGCATCTCGAATTTCTCAATTTCGATGGAAGAATCATAATCTCCGACCCCGAAATCCCCCAGATACCAAATTTGAATAGAGTCGTATCATAATTACAAAATCGTTGCGTATGGAGCTAGTAACAAAGACCACTCAGAACACACTTGACCTGAAGGACCACTCGTGAGGTCGATGGCCAGTTTTAACAACGAAGTACATATACTTACTCACCAGCCACTAAACGGTAGGTAGTATATTTCTGAATCATTATCGAAAGTGCTGATTGTTGCCATATAAACGACCTCATTAACTATAGCTATCCAGATTTTGGGGATAAGAGTGGTACTTCAAATCCCCGGGGATTTAAGATGTACTTACTTCAAATCCCTAGGGATTTTTTCCCAGAAAATAGGGATTTGTACAATCGACGTCTCTAACGTTTTTCCCTCGTTCCAGGGCGGCGATCCTCCGGTGCCGGGCATGGACTGCCTCCAGCTGCGCCACCAACCGGCCGGGCCCTTCCACTACCTCATCAGCGAGCAGGCCAAGTCCCTCGTCGCCCTCCAGGAGCTGCAGCATGAGGTCGGCGCTCTGCTCGAGTTCCGCGACCTCGTCATGGCCACCTTCCCCGACCTGCGCTCCAAGCTCGCCGCCTCCACGCCCTCCACGATGACGTCACACCACCACCTGTTGCACCACCCCCACCAGCACCACCAGTCGAACATCCCGGTGTCGATCAGGCCGGGCGATTGGACGCCGGGCGTGCGGGTGAGGAAGAAGATCGGGAGCAAGGAGGAGGGAAGGGGTGGGAGGAAGGTGGGGGAGGTGGCGGTGCAGGACTCGGGGTTCAGCACGGAGACGTCGAGCAAGGAGACGCATAGCGCGTCGTCGTCGTCGGCAGTGTTACCTTCATCTAGTGCCCCAGGTCAGTATCATTACATAATGCTTACAGAACTAGATCACTCTGTTGAAAATAATGAAACGAATAGAGTCAATTAGAGACTATTGAATCCGTGAATGGATTCGTTTTGGTATTATATGACGAAAATACTATAATTTGGCGCCCAACGATAGGTTAATTCATACTTTGACGTCTAAAGAAGTGCATAATCATAAAATACTTGATGACATCAATTGTACCACTCGATCACATAGCCTTATAAGATGAATAGAGATGAATTGAGTCAATTAGACCATTGGATCTGTGAATAGACTCGTTTTGATATTGAATGATGAAAATACTTTAATTTGGCGCCCAACGTTAGGTTGATTCAGACTTCGACGTCTAACGATGGGTCTCCATTTGTAATCGAAATTGAAAATCTATGAGTATGACTATGACTCCAGAAGATTTTCAAAATTGAAATGCAGGAAGTGCATAATCATACAATACTTAATGTCACTAACTGAAAAATTCGAATCACTCAGCTATTGAAAATACGATAAATAAAATCGAATAAAGACTATTGAACTCTTATTGGATTCTCGAAGAGTCACAGTCAAATTATTCAGGAAGATGTGCACATGTCTACAGTACCAGCATGCAATGAATGACATGCGGGACACCTCGAGTTGATATTTTGATGATGAAAGAATTGTTTTGTTCAATGTTAAACTTGTTTCGAATGGAAACATAGCATGTTGTGGCGCCCAACTATAGGGGTCACTAGCTCGACAATCGATAGCAATCTCGTTGGCATCCAACAACAAGTCATTCACATTTTGGTGTCGAATTGGAAGTTATCCCTTATAGATTCAATCCCCTAGAGATTATATGACTCAAAGTAACGTTTTTTTTTCAATGGGGTAGTTAGAGATCAGTACAGACTATTGAAATCTTGATTATTTATCTACTCGTTCTTTCGGAATTCTGAGAGTAGTGAGAAGTTTCATAAAATTCCATTTCTAAAAAGCATTCAAGAAGTTGTGCACAGTACCAGCATGTACCGGCATGTACTGAATGTTCGAGTTGATATTTTGATAACATGAGAAAGACGAGTATCATCCTCTACTAAAATGATTTCTGGAAGATCACTAAACTGTCAACTTTTCCGTCTGTGAACTTATTTCGACGTCAAATTGGAGATATGGCTCTCAAATGGCGGTCACAAACTCGACATCAATCTCGTTGGCGTCCTACAACGAATCATTCACATTTTGGTGTCTATGTAGAAGTTATCCCACATAGATCTCGTTCTGTGGAGATTTCGTAACTCAAAATAAACTTTGTTTCAGGTCCTACGGAGAACGACGAGGTCGAAGACGAGCTCTGGAATCTGCTTGACATCATCCACCGCAAGGGCACCCGCTTAAAAGATGAGGCGGAGGCCCTGCAGGGTACCCTCCGGCACCAGGGTGACCTGCGGAAGGAGGACGACCGCTCCTTCCGTCAGACCCTCTTTCACTCCTCCTCTGTCGATGATGTCCGACAGCTGCGGCAAGAACGGGATTCGCTCATCGATAGGTCAGTTAATGGATTATTTTTTTCAGAAATCAAATTTTTACCTAGAATTTTCCATTGTTTCCAAATGTTCCGAGAGGTTGTGTTGTTACCATGGACATATAGAGAGAAGGGAGACATATCATTTCATTCATGACATACTATTTGTTTACAATCATACATACATCTAAAGTTTCTAATAATTCAGAAAGTGATGGCTTTAAAAAATGGCAACGCCGAAAAATGTGCGTCAATGTTCACACTTTTCTTCACAAGTCGCGTGATTGAGCGAGAGACAAGAAAATTTTACTACAATGACAACGCTATTATGCCTAATAGACCATGTTTGCGTCTAATCTTCTAATTTAAATACCAAATATTCGTAGTACCTCAGGTACTTACCTAATTCTGATCCATCATCCAGTGGAATTTGAACAAAAAAAACAAGGTTTCTTCGAGGGTTTCTTGCAGTAATTAGTTAAATAACCGGCGATAACTACACAACTGCTCAAGTTGAAAGAAACATATAACCTTGAGATTTGTATTGTGAACTTTTTCACAATCCACGCACTCGCGAACCATAATAGCCTTTTGATAATTGTCTATATATAAGTAGTTCTATAAGAAGGAAACATTGGAAATCAATTGAAACACAAAAAATCCTAAAATGGTAACAAACACAACACAACAACACTGTAACGTCGGATTGAATATGCGTAACTCGTAGTAGTTCAAACAGACAGCGTGCCGATGTATCAAGTGACTTTCTAAGACTATACCAATAATTTGTGAGATAATTTATAGAAATCTCTCAACTAACTGCTCCTTTGGGTATATGGTTCAATTTAATCAAAGAAGGAATAGACCGTTGTATAGAGATTCGAAATAATATTTCATCGCGTGTTTTCGAGATTTTTGAAAAAACCCAAAATTATATACTTATTCCTCAAAAACTGACTGAATTTGTTTCAATGACATCTCCTGTCAGTTCCCTGAAGGTCCACAGAACACTCTGTATATACTTTTCATGCATATCATTATGATTCAATTATAATAGAATAATTTCTCTGTGTCCAATTTAACACTGATTTTATATTCAATTTCAAAATACGATAAAATTAATGACATTGGAAGTAGAAACTCGGACCGAATAAGACATATACATATACGCGGAAATAATATTCACTCTCTTTCGTTCTAATTATGAATCCACTAATTAATTTTTAATTGTCTTCATTTGCCAAGTTAGTTTCATTTAATTCGTTAATGGGAATTGTCGTTCCAACCACTGCCACCAAATGATGGTGAGTTTCTACTTCTGGTCTACCCTATCCTATCCTCAACCACACCATATTTTTTATTCAATCAAATTATTGAAATAATGATTGTTGTTACAGGTTGGCGGAAATGGAGGCGGAGGTATTGGCAGGAAGGGTGCATACGTCCAGGTTACAAGAAGACTTAGAGAACCTGTTGAGCACCAAACAAGATCTCGAGGAGCAGCTGAAAGCGGTTGTGACGCAAAGAGGTGAGAAATGGAATTGCATCCCTGATCATTTTCAGTTACGTCCTTCTTTTGCTGGCCAATGCGAGATTGCGCATATATTGGCGCCCAATGCGGGGCGATATATCATCTTCAATGATCATTAATTTATTTCGTATTGGAGAACGATACGTCATGTTGGAATACTCAAACAGACTTTATTTGCCTGAGAAAAATTCAAGGTTATGGCGTTATTACCTACTCAAGTTGCCATGGTTACATGTGTTGGAATTGATCGACGCTTAAAAGGTATCAGATCGAACGACAATCAGAAGATGCCTTTCAATCTTGTGAATATCATCTGTAACAAATCACAATGTTCAGGAATCAATATCGAGAACGATTGCCAATAATTTTGATTATTCCTACATTTTTCGTAAGATTTTCTGATTCAAACTATAAAACTTTATGAGGAGTCTGGTCTCAAGAAGATATTGAGCAATGTCTACCTGATTGTTAAAATCGATAAGGTATATGTGATTAATCATATTGTGTTTCATAGATCGATGACTATAAAAGTATCAATTTTGTCTGTGGGTTTCGAAAGGAAATAATGAAATCATGAAAATACCTATCCTTAACATGTATTGTCACCTTCTAATTCATGATTCACACACCTGATAACAATTCCAGAGGCATTTAATGTTATCTAAAAATATAATTATAATAGATTGCGACGGATTGCGATTAAAAATATGACCAGTGGATATTTAATGTCTGGCATCCTGATGATAAATTATTCCGGAGTTTCAACATTTCATAATTGATTTCAATCTGTATATGTAGATTTCGTATGGGATATTACTCAAGTTTAATGAATTAAACTGCAATAGCTGTGTTCAGGGACTGTGGGACTGAGAACAATATTGGACTTTGTGAACTAATCAGAATTCAAGCTCATACAAATCAGTGGCAGCTCGTGAAGTTGCCAACAAAGAAGGCTGGATAAAAGGAGGAAAACAATGAAGTTTAGAATACTCTCCAGTGCGTTTGTGTGATTCATACGTTTATTAAGTCTAAGATGCCGGTCAAACCATTATATAATCGCACTCATCATGATGATTTATATGATATTAATAAAACTGTTACGTTTTTCGTGGGTAGAAGTCAACAACATTAGTTTATTTATCTACCAAAGATCACTACTATTTATTTCAGGTATTGACATACACGCGGTACACAATCTGTTTACTATTATTTATTTTTGTTCAACCGAACAACAATGACTCAACATAGGAAAAAAACATATTCCGGTCCTGAAATTGGTTTCGTCTCGGGTTTCGTTCAGAGGCTACTTGTTCAACCCTTTGAGTTTAATTCATGTACCACATTTGAACCCAATTGGGCGATCTCTCTATTTAATATGACAGATTGAATTTATGTCAAAATCCACAAATTACTCTGTATGTCGTCAGTAATGAAGCGGTTTTACCTCTGGACACCCTATACAGGGTGACCCAAAATTGCTGGGACACAGAGCCACCACGTGTATAGGAGGTTGAAATAAGTTGATTGGACTCAATTTATTTATGTGCCAAAGTGTACCTTTTGTCCGTGAGAAGGGTTCAAAGTTGACATAAAAAAAAACATTTTTGTACGCTGTTCAGAAACAAGTGAAACGAATTTGATGAAATTTGGCAATAGTGTATTCCAGAGGTTTAATTTCCTTTTGGTGATCGAAGAAACCTGAAAGAAATTGTAGAAGGGTAAAACCACCCTCACCCCCTGAAATTTTTTTCAGAACTTTTTTAGGGGTCATAATACGGCTCTGAATTTTTTTGACCTTGAAGACTAATCAATTACCTTCATTTCATTGCTCTTGTAAAAATTTCCGATATCGCATATTTTAGAACCGTAGTAAAAAAGTTCTGAAAAAAATTTCGAGGTGTGAGAGTAGTCTGAAAGAAATTGTAGAATAATTTCTTTCAGATTTCTCCGATTACCAAAAGGAGAGTAATCCTCTGAAATACACTATTGCCAAATTTCATCAAATTCGTTACAATTATTTCTGAACAACGTACAAAAATGTGTTTTTTCTGTGTCGGGAAAAAAGTTTGGCATTTCATCTCTGTTGGCAGGTTATAAAATGTCACTTTTCATAGTACTTTTTTCCCGGATATATATCACATATTATATACACTGTTGATGGCTTTTGTTGTGCTATAGTTCCGAAAAATGAGTCAATAATACCTTTAAGTCCTTTTATCTTCCATTCGACTTCGCGGTTACGTATATTAAGTAAACAACCACTAAATTCATAATTTTTTGAAATCAAATCACAGAATAAGACTGACAGAAGTGACATCAGATATTTGATAACTTGAATTGAATGATAAAGATGCCTACAACGCAGGTGTCCCTACTGTTAAAAACTTAAAATTTCACGTCGATGATTTTCAGATTTCAAAATAATGTAATATCTTCTCAATATTGATTCGCCCTCTCTTCTGTCACAGAAAAAAATAGTGTATTACACACGGGAAAAATATTAAATTTTAGCTCACGGGAGATAACACAACCTGGAGCTAAAATCTACTACTTTTTTCCCTTGTATAATAAATAACTATTTTTCATGTGAACTTTGAACCCTTCTCACGGACAAACGGTACATTTTGAATTTTGGCACATAAATAAATTGGGTCCAATCAACTTATTTCGACCTCTTCTAAACTTGGTAGCTCTGTGTCCCAGCAATTTTGAGGCACCCTGTATATGGAGAGACCACTACATCTGGAAACATTTCCGTTTCGTTCCAGGTGAAGTGAACAGCCGCATCCACGACCTCCACCTGCAGTTCGTGAAAAGCGGCGCTGGTGTCGCGGACCGCGACGAACCCGGCGGTCGACGCCCGACCGGCGATCGCCGTGACCCGCCCTCTTCGATCTGTTCTAGTCAGAGGGCGGGCAGGGAGGCGCCCAGCGAGATCGACGCCGCCCTGGGCGACGAGGTGCCGCGGGTGGGGGCGCCCGACGGCCGGAAGGTTGCCGCCATCTTGCGGGAGCGCGACCCGCTGGTGCTGCAGAAGCATCTGCTGACGACCACCGTGCGAAATCAGGTGAGGAACGTTGAATAGAGTGGGTATATTAAAACGATGGACGACTTATTGAGTCTCATTAGAGTCTTTTAGTAAAAATTGTCTTGACGTATTTTTATAATTCTGACAAAGTCAAATATATCAGAAAAAACTAACATGACAAGTAAACTCTCAAACTCGCTCTCAAATTATCACAAGTATATCATACAATATGTTATTTTGTCGCTGTAACAACGACAATAGACCTCCAAATGGCTGCCGTATCCGAAATGTCATTCTTGGTCAAGTCACTGAATTGCTAGAAATCTGAAGGGTATCTCCCATGCAGTAATGAATTTGCGCTTTCGATGTGTCCATGTGATGTTAGGTTTAGATATTTGATATTTTCACTTCATCATATGAATAATCTCATACTTACGAGTCTCAAAAGACGGACTCTAATAGTTGATATCCAAGGTACTGACCTCGGTACTGACGTATAGAGCTTCATGTCTGATTGTTGGATGTTTTGTGTCCAAAGAGCAAAAAACAGAGACAATGGCGTCAAAGCATGGTCAAAGTGAAATAGATTGCGTAGAACTGAATGGAGAAAACAAGGCAGGTGGATGCACCTTTATATTGGAGGTCTGCCCCCCCCCCTGATGATTATTTGTTACCTCCTGTCTCTAGGCGCTAATTATTTTTTCTATACTCGATTTAATGATGACTATTCCACTCTTGATCTCCAGAACCAATCAGAATCAACCATTTTCACGGTTTCTCCTGTATTACAGCGATATTTTTTGTTGAATTGACCCACAAGTGACCAATCAACCTTGTTTTCAGCTATAAAGTTGCGACATTCAAAACGTTAATTATATTGGAAGTTAGAATGCTGGATGCCGTGAGCGCAACTCTCGCGAGGCGTTCGTTCATTGTCTGATTCAATCATGAAATAATCATACAAATTCAACTCGTGATACTATTTTTCCGGTAAAATAGTGCTTGTGGTATTTCATATTATGAATAAAACACTCGTTCTCTGATACAGGCATTACATTATTTATTAATCAACTCCGAATGATTTGTCATGTATAGGGAACAACCCAAATTGGTTTATGCCTATACGACAGCTACTCAAGAACTCTGAACAGGTACCAGGGCCCAAAAGGGATGCTTGCACTATTCAGATTCAATTTATGCCCGTATTTGGTTTTCTAAACATACTTGAAACATTTGACACACTTTAAGACACTTGTAGGCTAGTCATATTTGACAACCCCCAACATGTCCTTATATGGCACAATTTCTAAGAGAAAGACCGCTATGTGTCTAACACATAAAAAAATATGTTAGAAGAGGAAAGATGTACGTTCATCCATATTTTTCATGTTCGCTGCGTGAAATCAAAATGAGACCTGGTCTGCAAACAAAATGTGGATATAGGACGTTTTATTGTTCATGGATGCATCTGCATTTGTGCAATATTTAGGTTACATCCCCCTATTACTTAGTGATATAGAAATGTAACTGTTGTAACAAACTGTCATTCCATATTCCTTTCAACTATTCTCTTGAAAATCGTGATGGAAAAGTGTATGGCATTAAGAATCGTTCCTTTAATGTAATAACCATAAAAAACAGATAGACTTAGCATGAAAAGTCTCGAATAGGTTTCAAGAATAGCAGAGCAATAATTTTAGTCTTAGTACTGTATAGGGGTCCTGCAAGAGTCACTTCTGCGACCGTTTATGTTTCTAATATACATAAATGACCTCTCCTGTGTTGATTTCAAGAGAGATGCAGTCAAATGCTGAAAATTGGTTTTCCGTGAGCCCATTGTTCTTAGAATCATATTTTTTTATCGGAGGCTATATTTAGTTTCAATTTTCTATCTGATATTTATAAAATGTTATTAGAAATTTTGAGTATTTACCACGTCGGTGTCGGAATCCATAGTTCTAATAATATTTTTCTTTCATCACGTCAATAAGATGAGCCTTATTTAAAACTCATGGTCACACATTTTAATTCATTTACAGCAGTTTAATCGAAAAACCTGTAACTTTAATTTTCATGAAAACGGTTGTTTCTTGATACAATAATACCGTCCTGAAAACAGTTTTCTGACAAGTTAATACTTACCCTTACCTTTTTTCAAACCCCCGTATAGTCCCATTTTGTTAACTCAAGGTGTCTCAGTGTTTCATCATTATGAATTTATTGACAAGAGCATAACCAGAATAATGTTCTCATTGGGTGGGGTCATCACAGAAGTCGATTGTGAATATAATTAATATTCTGTATCCGGGTCAAAATTTATGACAACAATTTCATTACTGAGTTATGACCTAGGTGTGCTTTGTACCATCAATTCGCCCTTTTTGGCTTTTTAGTTAATCGATGTTTTTCAGATAAAAGAGAGAATGTATGTTTTATGTCTCTATGGAGGAAAAGTGTCATGATGAAAATAAATGGTCTTGACACACTTTTTCTTCAAACAGACTTTGAAGCACTATTAATTGTGCATTAAAATTTCATTTGACTCTTTATTTAGATATACATTCACCTATTTACAATAATGCTGTTGACTATTATTGAGGATGAAAATAATATTGACTCATGACTCTGGCTATTGCCTGCTGGCTAGAGAAACATATGAATCATTCAGGATAGTAGAGTACTAAATAATCTTAAGATTGTGGAGCTTTCTGGTTTACCTTCTGTGTTTTTTAGATTGTTGAATTAATGCATCACTGATATGGTTGAGGTCTATAAGTTCCTTTGATGCAGTGATCACTAGTATTAGCGCTTTGACACATTCCGGTGTGTTGCTTTGTATCTTAAAAAAATGAGTATTCAAATATCTCTTACTTCTCTCTCTTCTCTTAGTACCGGAGGAGAATGCATGTACTAGCATTTTTGAATCATCAATCATCTTTAACAATACCTTTCTTTCTTGTTTTTATAAAAATGAAGACATTTAAGTACCTCCAGGCTGAAGCTAAAATAATATGTTATAGGTACGTACGTTAATACGGCCGGCAAATATAAAAACATCACCAATGCATGAACATGTGAATAACAACTGTAATAATGATAAAATAACACAAACAATGTAAAGGCAACAATAGAGGCACTTTCTAATCTAATCAATACAATCGAATGTGACTAAATGCATGTAGCGTACCGAATCGAGCATGACTCATATCCTGCAACAGAACGAAAAATTAAAATACCTACAAATATTGCGTAAAACTCAAATGATGGATACTATGCAGCTTGTTTTCAAACATTTGCAGCCACCAACAGTTTTCTATGTTGGCATCACTGTTAGTCAAAAAAGCAAAATCACTGTAGATACTGTACAGTTGTGAGCATAAACAATTCAACTGACAGTACTAAATCTGCTGAATTTTCATTCCGAAATAAAAAAAAATCACTGAAAATGGCAGATACTTGTGAGCAGACATACTATTCATTCATTCGCGTTCTGTCTGTCAAGAGAACGGTCGCATTTTTATCACGCTCCTGTCAGACTAATACGAATTTAATCAGAAGCGAGTTTTCCGGTTACTCTTCGCCGGGAAACATGTTGAATCTGCCAGAAGACCTTGATGGTGACTCTCTAGTCACACTACTACATCAAATATTGGAGAGACTCAATAAACTGAACCCCCATAACCAGCTGTCTATCCGTCCTGTAAGCGATCAGCCACAGTCCGATCATCTTCCGAAATATGGTAAGAGGCCATTTCAGGACACAAATGACTTACATGAGACTAATTACGAGAAGGAATTTCCAATGATTCCTCTGAGTAACCGATTCGACCAACTGAGTGAGTTACAAGACGATGAGATGTCGGAATGTTCTTCTGTGAAGTCATCCTCTTCACAAAAGTCCGTCAGAGCAAGAAAATCACTGTCTGATAGAAATGTCAGAGATGATATTTCCTGTCCCTACTTCAATTCACAATTGAGATCAAGATCAAGATCGCCCCAAATGCCCCAAATGAGCCAATTTCAGCAGAATTCTGTCCAGTTGAAGCGACAGGGATCAAAGGTCCCAATGAATTCGCAACACAAGCCCTCAAGTAGTAGTCTACGAGATTCAATTCCTACTAAAATAGACAAAAATAATGTATCTGTTAATCAAAATGTAGATAATCACCAGGTAAGAGTCCCTCCTATCATTTTGAGAGATAAAACTAAATGGACAAGTCTTTCCAAAGAGCTACCAACCCTGCAAATCAACTATTTTAAAGCAGTCAATACAACGGAAGGTATCAAGGTTTTCTGCGACAGCCCTGATTCATTCAGGGCACTCACTCGACTTTTAGATAATAAAAAGTATCCGTTTCATACCTATCAGTTGCCAGACGAGAAATCACTGAGAGTTGTACTCAGGAACGTCTCGGAACACATCGAGCCGGATGATATATCAGAGGAGTTGACTGAGAGGGGCTTTGAAGTCACATCAGTACATCGTATGAAGCGCCGCGATGGCACTGCAATGCCTATAGTCCTGGTTCTGTTGCCAAAAACTGAGAAAAATCGTGAAATTTATGATATAACAAGGTTGGTTGGCTTGACCATCAAGGTAGAACCCCAAAGACCCAAGGCACAGGTAGGGCAGTGTCATCGCTGCCAAAAATTCGGACACGCACAGTCGAGATGTTCTGCTGATCCGAGATGCGTTAAATGTAGCGGTAATCATTTGACAGCTAATTGTCAGAAGGATAGCTCGACTAAAGCCAAGTGTGCTAACTGTGGCGGCGCGCATCCTGCTAGCTTCAGGGGGTGCGAGGCATTTCCTGTAAGGAAAAGTAATGTGACTTCAAGGCCGGTCAAGTCAAGTTCTCAGAATTCACATCAGTCGGGAAGTCGGAGTTACGCTAATGCTTTGAAATCCACTAGCGAACCAGGGGACATCTTCACTGCCTTGGAGCAGATAAAGGAGATATTCCGTAAATTTACAGGTATTGCCGAGACGCTCGGTATCAACGCCAATACTGCTATAGGAAAATAAATATTATGATTCCAGAGGCATTGAAGATTGTAACCTGGAATGCTAATGGACTCTCAAGCAAAAAACTAGATTTCGAAAATTTTCTGTTTCAAAATAATGTCGATATTGCTCTAGTGCAGGAAACTCACTTGAAGGGTGAAATTCTGAACCTACAAAGTTATAATTCAATTAGGAAAGATAGGACAGGGCGTCCCAAAGGTGGAGTTGCCATATACATAAAAAGATCATTGAAATTCACTCAGATCGATGTAGGGGTAACCATTCCATTAGAGGCTGTGGGTCTAGAATTACACTCTTCTAGGGGCATAGTTAGATGTATTTCAGTATATAAACCTCCAAACGGAGTTTTATCTGCTGAGAATCTGGATGCTTTGACGTCTGATGACGGAAGGATTATGGTAGTTGGTGGCGATTTGAATGCCAAACATACTGACTGGAGTCGTGTCACCAACGCAAGTGGTAGACTACTGAGACTGCACTCTGATAGAAATGAATACATGGTTCTCGGTCCTGATGAGCCTACTCACTACCAATTCGGGAACAATTCAGCAGATGTCTTGGATATTTTTCTTGTGATGAATATTCCTTGGTATAGTGAGATATTCACTCTTAGTACCATGATGACTTCTGATCATAATCCGGTTTTTCTGGTGCTGGGAGATCACGTTCCAAGAGATGAAATCTTTCAACGCAGGAAGGTCTTCTGGATAGACTTCATGCGAGATTTGGAAGATGTTGAAGTCCCCCCTGAGGAACTCGACACTCCTCGAAAAATTGACAGTGCTGTGATTGACTTCGAACAGAAAGTTCTCACAGCTTTGAATAATAACACCCATATAACAAATATTACCAGTTTTCAAGCTAATGAATTCCCAATTTACTTGAAAAATCTCATAAGAGAAAGAAACAGATTAAAACGAAGAGCCATGAGAACTCTCTATCGTCCTCATAAATTGGAATATAACGAAGCTCGTAATATCGTGAGAACTGAGATTGATAATTTCAGAAACTCAAGATGGCAGACCACACTGGAAAATTTGGATGAAGGTCCTGATAATCTTTGGAAGTTGATCAAAAGAGTTAAGAATAAGAAAACCGTCATACCTCCTCTAAGAGGGGAGAACGGAGTCAAGTACAGCACTGCCGAAAAAGCTGAAGTCTTTGCTGAGTCACTTGTATCACAATTCAAGTTGAATGAGTCGCAGGAGTATGATCAGGAATGGGATGGTTCTGTGGAGCGAGTAGTCCTGGCCCATTTGAATAATGATGTTCACGATTTAAGAATAAGGCCTGCCTCTACGGATGAAATAATCGGCTACATCAAAGCACAAAAACTCAGGAAAGCTCCAGGTAATGATGGAATTACAAACAGAATATTGAAAAGGATTCCTGGTAATTTCATCACTTACTTATGTAAAATCATCAACGCCATATTGAAACTATTATATTTCCCTCAAAGATGGAAGCATGCCGAAGTAGTGATGCTTAAGAAGCAAGGCCAGGATAATGCTCTTCCGCAGAGCTATCGTCCTATCAGTCTCCTGTGCTCTCCATCTAAAATAACTGAGCGAGTGATTAAACAGAGATTACAGGAATTTATCGACGACAACGGGCTTATACCAGATGAGCAGTTCGGTTTCAGAACTGGCCACTCAACTGAACTACAAGTCTTGAGACTCATTGAGAACACAATATCGTTGAGAAATGATAGACAAAAGACCCATCTTGCTCTCCTTGACATAGCGAAAGCATTTGACAAGGTGTGGCATGATGGTATCTTATACAAAATGATCGATATGGGCTTTCCTGACGATTTGATTCAGTTGATGTGTTCATTTCTGAAAAATCGAACTTTTCAAGTAAAACTTGATGATCAACGATCTGGTATCAAGCCCATTGAAGCTGGTGTTCCTCAGGGTGCAGTTTTATCTCCGCTGTTGTACAGTTTATATATAAGCGATTTGCCAAGACCAGTGATGTGCAAGATGTCGCTTTTTGCTGATGATACGGCAGTTCTTGCATATTCGACAAATTTCGAGCAAGCAGCTATGAACCTCCAAAGCGCACTGAATTCTCTTCAGGAGTACTTCCTAAGATGGAAGATCAAATTAAATCCTACAAAAACACAATTGGTCGCACTCGGAAGGGAGCGGAGGCCTCCCAGAACCAGAATAGTCCTGGATGGTCATGAGTTAGAGTGGTCTTCACAAGTTAAATACTTAGGTGTGTGCATTGACAAAAAGCTCACCTGGGCCCAGCACATTGAACAGCAAGTTTCTAAAGCTAAACGAGCCATTGGAGCCCTGTATCCATTTCTAAACAGACGAAGTAAATTGGGTTTGAGACAAAAATTGAATATTTATATCATGGCTATCAGGCCAATTTTACTGTATGCCTCAGTAGTCTGGGGCCACACAGCTAAATCTCATATCACCAGATTACAAACATTACAAAACAAAATCGCGAGAATGGTGACAGGATCTCCTTGGTATGTTCGGAATAACCAGATCGCCAGGGATCTGAAACTCCCATCAATCGTGTCAGTCATTAAAGAACGAAACATCAAGACTTTCGAAAAAGCTGAGGTTCATGAGAATCAGCTTCTTCGAAATGCAGTTGATTATGACCCAGGTGATCAATCAAAGTTCAAAAGACCGAGATTGTCCATAAACTAGGGAAAATATCGACATTATGACCAAATTTACTATTCTCAAGTTTATGATATTTATGTATTCCGTTCGATCTCTTTCAATTCTCAGAATGTATTTCTGAAACTTATTTGGGACAGAAGGGCTGTTCGCATCAAACTTCAATACCGTTTTTATTTTGTTCCATAATAGATATCAGGATAAGAGGGACTCTTCCCTGGTCTGAATAAAATAAAAGAAAGATCCAAAAAAAAAAAAATACTATTCATTCTAAATATTTTACTCAACATTCTGCTGGAATTGCTGACTATTGAAAGGTAGTGTGGCTTCAGTGAACTGTCATTATTTTAGAGGGGGACATCAATATTATCATATTTAATATCAGATAATGCCTGTTATTATAATAATTGACGCTTGAATGATGTTCAAATTTCACCAGCTGATCAACTGCTGCTGATTACTGATGAAAACCATGAAAACGTATTCCGAATTACACACCACAACATTTTTTATTTTATATTTACACGGATTTTCAGCAGTCAGTATGGATTTACTTGACAGTACTGACCAGTTGAATTCGGAATATAGCTTAAGTCAGGCTTGTCAATCTTGATTGATCTTCTTATTGACTTTGACAAGTAGTGTCAAAATTCAAACTATTTTTGTCAGTAATGCGCAAATGTGTACATGTACTACAGCAGAATTTCAATAAGGTATTTTTTCGCGAGATCCCGTTGATTTGCCGGGAACTGATATTCAGTTCCCGTTGCATTTTCACGTCATAACGGTAATGGTAATGATATCATCAGTGACGTCACAATTTATAAAACGGGAACTGTGTTAGTTTCCGCATCTGTGAACATGGTTACTGGCGGTTATAGTAATTGACAAGTGACATTGTATCATTATTTTCAAAGTATTATATCATTATTAGAAGTAAACATATTTATAATTATTCAAACTATTTTTGAGATACCTACTACTCACTTTTTAAATCAAGAAATGGAAGAACACCAACAAGAACACCAATAACGTTGAAAAAGTTGTTCTTTTCATTCGAAATAGCTAAAAAAATACTACATCATTATATTTATCTATCCAGTCCATATCACTCTAGGATGAAAATAACTTTCTGAAAATCGTGACTTTATAATTGTAATTTGAAAAGTTGAATGGGATGAGACAAGTACAGTCGTATTCAATAAAAAAGCGTACATGCAAGTATTGAAAAGAGAGAATTTCGGGATCCTAGTTCTAGTTGTGTGAAACTGGCTCAGCCAATGCAACTTTACTGTCAACATTTGGTGAACAATCATGCCCGATAACCCGTTTTATGCAGAATAGGATGACGTTAATTTCTCTCTGTAATTTACTTGTACGCTGCTTTTTGAATGCGACTGTACAATCGAAGTTGAATCAAAAAAATCATCAATCATTGACAGTACTGTTGGGAACATTTTGAGATGATTTTTGTTGAGCCACCGGAGCGGCCGGAGCCAATAACGATCATGCAACCAAAATTTAACTGTCCATTTATTATGATCATATTTTATTATGATCGAAAACAAAAGTCCCTGCTGACAGAAATCTAACGGTTAACCGGTTCGTTTTCGTGAGAAATCAAAGGATGGACTGCCTTCGGTTTATTTTTTCGTGGGGGTATAACCGCTCTATTACCGACCGCTATATTACCGGTGGCTGATCAACGAGAACTCGCGAAAAAATACCTGACAGTGGAACTACTGTGACTGATGCTGACAGTTGATTTTCAAAATATAACATTTACGAATTACCACCGCATATTGTTGAACTGGTTCAATCGAGGGTTCAAATTGTTCTACAGACATTAAAATTGTACGAACTGTCTATCAAAACTTACGAAAAAAAAAAAATCACACTCGAGAAATAGCAGTACCTGGGCCATGTTTCGATATTGCTGACATTACAGGTCACAGTAATCAATTTAGGAAAACTGAACAGTAGCAGTAGCTTTGAATTTTCATTCAATTTCGGAACGATTCTGGTATAGACACTGGCATCAAAACATAACCATAACCCATGATCTTTCGATTTTCGGTGGTTTTGTTTTTATTTTCATCATTCTTATTATTTTCTTCGTTATACCCACGTTGAAATCATGGACGGAGTGATTAATAATATTATCTTGAATTCTTGGTAGACGCATAATCCGATACGTCTAGCTGTGAAAGTGTGAAATATTTGATTTAAAAAGTGGGAGGAATAAATATCTCATAACAAACCATCTTGTAGGTAGATCAGTGACAGTTTCAGCGTCTACTGCCTCAGTGAGATCTTCCAGTTCGAATTCATACATTTTCCCAGGCTATTTCTTTCACTTTACCCACTTCCACAGTTTACCCAGGTTTACCCGTGTATTTCTAACATCGACATCCACTCCATTCAGTTTCAATTTGAATGTTCCAACAAATATTCCAGTTTACATTTAACCACCTTTACCAACTATGATGTTGGTAAACCCAAGGGCAGGTAGGGGAGGTGTACCCAAACGGAAATGACGTCATGGTTATACACAATGAAATGGAATTATCAGCTTTAAACATGACGGGTAATGTGAATGCAATATCCCTCAGATTAACAATAAGGTTTGTTCATCTGTGCTCAAAGTGATACAGAATCTGATCGATCTGATGCGATAGTGATAGTACCTCTGACACTTGAGGCGTGTTCGTTTGTGCTCGCTCTACCAGCTGAACTTGAATTTTTTCCATGGATTTCTCTGTTCACATCATGCCATGAACAGAGACAACTATGGGAAAATATCTACTTTAGCAAGTTCAGCAATACAAACGAACAAGCCTCTGATCGCTAATTGGGTCAGTCATTAACTCTTCTGAGCTAATTGGCCCATTTCGATAGTCGACGTATTGCGAAAATTATAGGACATGAATCTAGAAGGCTGGAGCCGTTATCGATCGTACGTCATTTGTTTAGCCACGACACCGTGATGAACGGCACGCGCGATCTTTGTTTTGTGTCCTGTTGCACAGAACAATAATAATTGACTAGACACAAGACACAATAATAATTATCATTTGTTATTGTGCAATACAAGTTGCACTGTCATTGTGTACCCCAACTAAAATATAGCTTACAAAATTATGTTTACAGTACCAATACCTAGTTTTCAGTAATAGAACATGTGATCCAATTAAAAGAATAGAAACTTTGTGTTTTTCCGCCAGTTGACTCACTCTAACAGGAAATTACGACATATTTATGTTTCTCCATTATACAATAATTATTAAATCGTTTTTATTGATGACTACCTCATAACAGATTTGATTCATTTCAAAAATGAATATTCCTATGAATTTGTATCTATCTCCTAGACTCTAGAGCTTTGTTTTTCAAATAAAGGGTGTTTAGGTTGATAATGAATATGTATAGAAAACAAATATTTTCTCAATGGTTTTAAGGTATCAACATACTCACAAATTTACGTGCTCATTCGAACTGTCGAAATTTTCCACTCATAACTGCTGACGTCACGACTCAGTGAGTTAAACACAAAGTTGCCAGATATTAAAGTACATCTGGAAGTAACAATTGTCTGGATATAAGAATTCATTAGTCATGATTCATTGCTCTATCCTATAGCTATAGCTGCTTTATTCTCAGCTGGATATTATGTCTTTCTCACAGGTTATATATTTGTTTGAGTGCATGAGCAAAAGATTAATTCACACCAAAGGATAGATTCATTGTGGAACGTATGGCTGCAGCTTCGCATCTATTGTACAATTTGTACACTCGTCTTCAGAGATCATGTCGCACATGGACGGTGTCAGCTTCCTTGATCACCGCTGAAATAAGAACGCTCATGGCGTCCAACCGCGACATGTTCGCTGAAGACGAGTGTACCTTGCAGTGAGACAGCACAGAGCGCAGTTGCCAAGTTAACAACGGAAATTTGTCGAATATTTGTTCACAAAGCTTCTAATATCGGCGAATCCTAACCACGGGATTCTCCGATATTAGATACTCATTTATATATACTCATAACTCATTTCGTTCAATTGTCGACTAGTGAATACTACTAGGATTATTAACAACTCAACTACAATTTGCGATTTGGCAATGTGTGAGCCTAGTTGGGCCGACTATTGGCGAGGTTGGCGTAGAAATATTAATAACTGACGTCATCAAGATCGGCTGGCGGAATAGCATCGAATCAGGCCATCATTTGAACAGTATGAAAAAACTTTTGACCTCTGTAACAACACAGTGTAATTGGTAAATGTGAAAAATTCAATTCGTAAGAATTGTTATCCCTTTCTATAGTTCCTATTCGCTTGGTTTTTTTGTATCTGACTTGGCTGCTGTTAGCATAAACACATGTCCCGCAACAGAGAGATGTCATTATCGTAAAAACATGTAGGTACGCTTTGAAAAACATGCCAAACGAGAGACGCCACTATATGCCAAAGCGATGATGCAAAAACAACAAAAAAACCTGCGAGGATTAGCTCGTGTTCGACATGAAGGCTTTCCCGAGTATTTATAGAAAAACGTGACGTGTGGCAACGATGAGTGACGGGAAGTGGCCAACTCGGTCAATGCATTCATTTTTTGTTGAATCAGCATTATTTTGTGTGTAACTTCATCGGGTTTCAGGATTAGGACCAGAATTAACAAAGGGCAAACGCGTTGCAGATACTGGAAATCAATTGAATGATATCTCCCGAAGACATATTCTTCAATTAACTTATTTATTTGCTGTCAGATTTCGCCAAGAAGTTGAGTTTACCCATTTTTTGTAAATTTTTCGTTATTGAAATGGACAGAAATATTTTTGTTGAAAATTTAAAATACTAGTGGCGTGTTGTGAGTTTCGTATCTGGGGAAACTAAGAAATAACCAAAACTGCGTCGATTTCTTTGAGTTTCATTGATCACAATATCACAAAATTCACAAATAAATAGTATCCAACTTTACTTGCAATCAACATTTCTATCTCCAATAGTCAATGCAGCAAATACCTTCAAATGAATTCACAAATATATAAAAACCGTACTTCCAGCTGTTGAAGATCCACCCTAACAATCCTCACTACCCAGTTGCGCTTGCTCATTCCTGATTGTTTAATAAAAAATCAAAAAATGACGCAGCAGGCTGTCATGAATGTCATAATATTTTTTTCCGTCGATCTCATATTAACGACTAAGTTTAATGTATATGAAATCGTTCATTAATGACCCCTATTGGATCGAGACTCGAGAGATAGACCGCTTGAAGCACAATTTTAAGAACGACGCTCCCATCCCATCTTTATGAGCAATTCATTCTTTAGTATGCTAAATGACAATAGACGTTAAACACAATATCTATGTGAGCAAAATTATGCAATCAGATTATGGATACAAACCTGAGAAATCGAAAACTTTGATACCTCAATGAATCGAAGCGAGTTTTTATCTTCTACGTCAGATGAAAACTTCTTAAGGCCGATTCATGCAACAGTCATTATGATTACATTTTCATTACATTATAAATTAAGAATGTTGAGTACTCCTATGTGATAGAATGCGTTCATGCAACACATTAACACATTTTCATTACATTTTCATCACATTAGTGCACTAAGAAGTTGACCAACTTCTAACTTTTCATTATAATTACATTATAGTTCTAGTGAAAACGACTGATTTGCAAGATTAGATCATTGAATGATCATTCTTTCCACAAAACTATTTGTGATTCACCTCAGATATTATATTCAAAATAAATCCATGTTCTCAAATAACCTGTAAACATTTGTAAAATCCAAGCAGATCACATAACCTCGAATAATTAGTTCATTATGAGCATGCGTTGCATGAACGGGTAGACCGCGGCTAGTGAAAATGTAATTTTAATGTAGTGAAAATGTAATTATAATGAATGTTGCATGAATCCGCCTTTATTCACAAAGGTTAGTAAGCAAGCCATTCATGTATCCTAACCTATCCTAACCTGGCCACATCTAGAACCAATATCACTTATACGTCTCGTTGGTTCGTAGAAAAAGATGTGTAACGCGATTATAAACTCGACAATCGTTCATCAAACACTATTTGGGATTTCAAGAATTGGATCGCTCTAGATATATCGAGCCGTGATTATCATATACAAGATGTCCCAGAACAATGTACCATAGATTTGTATTATCATCACAATCATGATCATTCGTCCATTGTAACTTTAAATTAAAAAATCCTGAGTATAACCTAACTCTAACTAACTGTCTTCCGAGATGAATATCATTGAGAATTGCTGGAACGTTTCGACGAATTGGAGACTCGGGAATAATTACAAATTCCACTCCTCCACTTTTGACCTTTTGAAATGATGCTGGAATAAGAGGAAATGTTCTCGAATCACCGCATCTAATTTATCGAATTTTGTTGCAGGTCCTGCGAGAACAGCTCGATAGTGCAGCAGGCCTTGAAATCGGACTCCGGGACAAGTTGGACAAAGCGAGGGAAGAAAACGAAGACTTGCGGTTTCAGGTGAGCAAACCAACAAGTTTCATCATAAGAAATGGAAGGCATCCCGGCTTGACTGACAAAAAACTCCCCAAGCCATGTAAAAATATTGTATTTTATCGAACGGCACCTGTGAAAATCACGGTCCTGAGCAAAATGTTTGAAAAGTCGCACTTTGAACAAGAATGCAAATGAAATGATTCATCAGATACTACAACTGTAAAGACAGCGATTGTCAACTTTTTTTTTCAATGGCATTGTTCATATTTTTTTCCCTGATAGAGATTTTTTTCTGAATACAATGATGTATACAAAGTTGACTTTCGCGCAAAATGAATTGGAAAAGAAATAAATCATTCATTATTATTCAATTTCTAGTGTAGTTTCCAAAGAAATTCCCAAAATTCACTATAAATTGAGTGTCGCACAAAATGCCAAATTAGTGGAAAAAAATGTATGCTCCATCGCCTAGAAATGGATCTTTTCATCAAATTTTCAATTGAGTCATTGAAGGTTGAGTCCGTTTTAAATGAAAAAAAAACATTATACAGTTAATTCAGAATTCTGAATCTTGAACCACCCTGTATATCTTCCGATTAAATATAAGTAAATAGTGAATCAAAAGTTGATATTGGGACATGTGAGCCGTTTTGGCCGATACTTTCGACACAAACAGTTGAAAAATCTCGATTTTGAACACACTATATCTCTGTAATCGTTTCCGATAGACCCCAAGTGTGATATATCGATGAAATCAGCTCTTCAGGGAGAATCTATGAATGCTGTGTATTATATATAAAATAACAAAGTTGTTGCTACTTTTTGATAGAGGCGGCAACACTGCACGGCTGAAAAGATTTTATATGAAGAGATCGTATTCGAGAAATAAAAGCTTGCATACTTCTATGGATTTTGTCTAATTTAATCAACTTTGTATAGTTGACGATTTTCGAAATGGCAATAAGAGTAAGACCAATCCCTATAAATATTATATACGATAATTCTGTTCAATAACCATAAATTATTTCCTAAAAATCTCAAAGACTTCCAAAGACTTCCAAAAACTTCTGAAGACTTTCAAATACTTCCAAATACTTCCAAATACTTCCAACGACTTCCAGAGACTTCCAACGAAGCGTACCCCAGACTCCCAAGGAGATTTACCCCTCGGGTAAGACATATAAAATGAGGCCTGTGCTCGGCCTGTACGTACACGGTTTCACTAGACCAACTTGCCATTTAAAAATATCTTCCAACATAGCTTCCTGCTGTCATGTTAAAGGGCATGATTGCAATTTGAGCGATAGTATATCGTTATCAAACTATTATGGAAGTAAAAATGAACTCCCCTTAAAAATCACCTGGATCCGGCACTGCTTCAAGCTAGAAGAGCATTCGAAATAGCATAAAAAAAGTGTGCGTTGAGATTTGAGAATGCGGACGCTGTGATTTGTTATCGGGATGAACGTTCGCAAGATGAAGTGTTTAAGATGTTTCGGTCGTTACGTGTCATTAAAATCAAAACAAAAAATACTCGCCACAAGAGATGGGCGTCGCATGCTGTAACTATCTCACACTTGCCGCTGGGAATGTAATTGTTATGATGGAAAATTGTGAGAAAAATCGAATAATCTGGAGCTTATCTTCGAACTTATCACTTGTAGTTATGTTGGAGTTGAATGATCTATGCCGAAATCTCAATTGAAGATAAAACTGACCGTGTGTTTCATGAAAAAATGTAACAATAGTAAATTCGAAGAGATTTTCAACCTATCTTTCATCATTTTCCGTAAAATGTCAGTGATTCCATGTTTGCTGGCTAGCACACTGATTGCTCTTGTCTTACTGTATTCGAAAAAGAATATTTTTTCTGTGACGGGAAAAAAGTTTGGCATTTCATCTCTGTTGGCAGGTTATGAAATGCCACTTTTCATAAATTACTTTTTTCCCGTAGGAAAAACGTGAGTACTTTTTTCCAGGATATACAGTGTGTCCCACTTACCATGCTCACCATGGGTATCTTTTTAACGGTGAGCGATACTAGGTCGGTTAAATGACACCAAATGTGGAGTTTGTCAAGGCCAACTATAATGTGAAAAAATATTTTGATAAAATCTATTCGTTTTTGTTTTATACGCAAAAAACAGATTTTGATCATTTTCATGTCTCCTCCGTAACTTCTTTATTTATGAAAATATTCAAATAGGAATTTCACATTCTCATGGCAGTTTTTCAAAGTGATTTCGAAAAAAATATGAAATTTATACCAACTCTTCTAGAATTTGTGATATCAGCACCAATTTTAGTTTTTCAAATGTAGGTCATAGCTCACTATGACTTAGTTTCAAATAACTTTTTTTCCTCTTACAAATACATATGATCTGTAAGAGGGAAAAAAGTTATTTGTAACTAAGTCATAGTGAGCTTTGACCTACATTTGAAAAACTAAAGTTGGTGCTGATATCTCAAATTCTAGAAGAGAGGGTAAAAATTTCATATATTTTTCGAAATCACTCTGAAAAACTGCCATGAGAATGTGAAATTCCTATTTGAATATTTTCATAAATAAAGAAGTTACGGAGGAGACATGAAAATGATCAAAATCTGTTTTTTGCGTATAAAACAAAAACGAATAGATTTTATCAAAATATTTTTTCACATTATAGTTGGCCTTGACAAACTCCACATTTGGTGTCATTTAACCGACCTCGTATCTCTCACCGTTAAAAAGATACCCATGGTGAGCATGGTAAGTGGGACACACTGTATATCACATATATATACACTGTTGATGGATATTGTTGTGCTATAGTTCCGAAAAATGAGTCAATAATACCGTCTCCGAGAAAGAACTGCAAGTCCTTTTATCTCCCATTCGACTTCGCGGTTACGTATATTACTAAATAACCAATAAATTCGCAATTTTTTGAAATCAAATCACATAATTAGACTGACAGAAGTTACATCTGATAAATTATGTGAAAATGTCAAATTCCAATAAGAGCAAGGTTTCTCGAACAAACAATGACAATAAACGAAACCTCCTCCATCGTTCCAGCTCGAGGACAGGAACATCGAGCTGGAAGGCACGCGGGCGCGAGTGCGCATGCTCGAGTCCCTCGCGCCGCCCCAGCTGCGCCCCCACCCGACCTCGCCCGACATCATCCCGGCGCTCGAGTCGGGCGGCGCCGGTCCGCCCACCCCCTCCACCCGCCCCGAGGTGTCGACGGCGAGCATGCGCGCCATGCAACCGCTAGACTTCGACAGTTTGAGGGCCGCTGACAGGTCGAGCGGCACCGAGTCGGCGCACAACGAGTCGGCGGAGAGGGAGAAGAAGAGCCGAAGGCCGAGCAAGATTCCGTTGAAGAGTTATACGGCGCCCAAGCCGCCAGCAGGTCAGTGTAATTAATTGGCGGATGATTCTTGTGTTAATTTCAAATATTTCTATAATATTTGGACTTATTCTGCATTTTGATTTATATTTCATTAGAATCACATCGCCATAGAAAATCAAATAACGTCGCTCCACCTGACGGCAATAACTTGAACAATAGCACAACCAAAAACCAAAATGTAGTATACCACGTTAATACCTTTCAAATATACCGCCAGGTAGCGTAAGGTCGAAAAGATGTTGGCTTGATTAAACCTGTTGTTTATAAGAGAGCCTAAAGTTTTCGAACCATTCTCAAAGCTGATTGTCAGATTGGTGACAGTGAATCATGTGATCCATTATGTACGCATGCCCATTTTCTCGAAGAAAAACTTTATTAACGAGACCCTCTGGGTCTCCAGAAGATGGAAATACATCCTTGAAAGCCTAAATCACTACACAAATGATAGCAGTTGGCTGTCGCCATTCTATTAGTGGACCAGAATAAAACTCCCTGACCTAACTCATCCTCCACAATTTTATTACATGGGATTGGTTTGAAAGATTTAGGCAGTTCTATTGCTTATTTATTCTCATTAATTTAGATGGAAAAAAGTTCAAGGTGGATAATATTTCACAAAATCGGACTTTTGACATGAAGTTTATAAGACCCTAGAAAAAAATCTTCAAGAACAATTTGAACATGTAATAGAACTCATATCAAATACCTTTTTTGTCTCTGATATTAGAGATCAATACATATCCATATCACCTTATATTAATGATTAGAAAACATTTGGCAAATATTTTTGCCCATCTCTATTTCTTAGAACAAGAGATTTCCAATGCTACCTAGCAGTTTAAAATTGTTTCGAATATGATATAATGCTAAAATTCCTAGCCGAATACCACTCATGCTCAAATTATTTCTTCAAATTGTTCCTTGCTTAAGAATATTATCCTCGATTATCAATACATTTTCATTCATTGTCAAATAGCAATAATCATCTTATTGAGATGACATGACCAAAAAAGTTACTCAAGTAATATGAACATAATGATCCTCAAGGTAGCATGGTCATAATGAGTATTCAGATTATATTGCCATGTTCAAGACATTGATGGCAGTGTAGTTACAATTATAGCACTAGGCGACAGTCAATAATGATTACCTATCTTATACAGTGTGCACAAGATAAGAATGAACAGCATGGGGATCTCGTTAACCGTAAGAGTTATACAGTAGGTCAAATGGACAAAAAGTTGCACAATTGAAGGATCGGTAAATAGATGTTCTATTTTTGAGGAAATATGCGAGCTATCATATCCACAAGGTGACCAACTGAACCTAGTCATGTAAAAAAATATAACTTCAGTTTTGCAAGTTAGAATTCAACAATACAACACAACGCCATTCACGTTATTCCCGTTGATAATAATAATGAGTCTGTCGACATAATAGGCCATCAACCCTGAAAAAAGTAGTCTCTTTCAATTGCTACCTTAGATAGATGGATATTCTTGATAAATTCACAGCTATTTCATTAGATTTGCGAAATGTTTCATGACATCATCCGGGGTATTTATGTCTATTAATTTCACCCATGATTGACTACTAATTCATCACACACTATCATCGCTTTGAAATTCACCGAGTTTGGAACACAAGTAGTGTAGGATTGGCGACTTCAGATTTTTATAATGCTAAATTTATGTGTAAGTGATTATCCTGGAAAATTATCGAATCTTTGATCAAGTGACATCAACATGGTACATCAAACTTGATGTACCATGTAATTTTTTGACAAAATTATTCATACCAATGAAGACAACTCACTGTAATTCTCATCTTGGAACACTTGTAACGAGTCTCAAAATCCAATATTCCTAATACAAAAGTTACTTTGAAACTTATGTACGACTCACTAGCAGAAAGTTGATAAATAAAGAGTATATTTCAGCAAGGACCATTACAATTCCTGAAATTCCAAGTGTAACATGTTTTTGATCTTACAAATTACAAAATATTTCGTGTCAACGGATATTTCGTGTCAACGGAAACACTTTGTAAAGATGGGAATATTGCACTGTATCATGAATCACCTGTAAAACCTTATTCTGATAAGTTACAACAAATCACGTGATCGGGATTGAAAACCTATAAAACGACCATCCAGAAACCAGAAAGAAATTAAAAATCGGTTGTGGATATCTGAAGTTCAAAATTGATCGATAATTTTCAATTTTACGCTTTGAAAGTTGACCATTACATTTAACGTCTGTTATCAACGTGAGTTTCCTTCATTGGTACATCAACGATATCAATCTAGACCCTCTGTAGTCGTCGATCATCGCAATTAGAACACTTATCATCCTCTCACAGGCAAGCACAGTCCGGCACCAGGCACGCGCAGCCGCAGCGGCGATTCCCCCCACCGCTCGCACTCCACCCAATCCTGGAGGACCAACAAGAGCGAGGGCAACAGCCTGAACGGCCCCCCCAAACTCACCGCCTCCCTACCGAAATCCCGCAACAGCTCGCTGGTCACCGCCAAGGACTCCCTATCGAGCAAGCTGCGCAACAGCGACTCTCTCATGAAGCTGTCACACGCGGCGCCCGACAGCCCGAAACCGTCGCGCAACAGCTTCAAAACGGCGCCGGTCGGCTTTAACGGCTTCAAGGCCTCGGCGCCGGCCGTTAACAGCTTCAAAACGGGCTCGGGCGCGGTCGTTAAGAAGACAGCCGGGATGCCGGTAAAGAAGGACTCTTCGGCTATCGGCGATAAGGTACGCTCGAAAACAACAACAAGCATTATATGGAGTTTCTTCAGGCGCGACAACCAGGCATAGGAGTGTGAGGCCGCCTCCGTTGTTTTTCTTTTCGTTTAGTTGCCAACCCGTGTGTGCAGTAAGTCAGGCTTTTTTTATTTATTTGCTTTGAGCTTCGCTTTTTTGGGAGCTTAGTAGGTCGAGAGTTGTTCGGAGCTTGAGTAGATGATGTGGAGTAGAGGTAGTAAGTAGTTAGTAGTAGCTTTAGTTTGGTGGTGTTTCTTTGGTGACTGGTTTCGATTTTGTCAGGAACTGGAGCTCACTTCCCAGCTTCAATTTTTGCTATCGATTCAGAAGTAATATACGAAATGGCTATGCAAACGAAATATATGGAAATAAAAAATACAGTCATTTATTGGACACCCAAATAAGATCTTGACAAAATGAAACTGCTTGATGTACAAACAGAATCATTTGACCAGTGCATGAAATATTGTTGTATCTTGTATCCTATTAGCATTACCGGTGGACTCCACACTTTTAAATCTTCTCCATAATGAAGCTAGGCTTGAAACCTGTATGTGATTGGCAGTCAACAATCGACAATTTGTTAGTCATATCAGCTGTTACTCAACTGCTAGCTTTCCTATAGTCAACAGGTGTTGAGTTTTGGTTCACAAATTATTATATCAATCAAATGTAGGGTCCCTGAATCGTGTTGGCAAACAAATTTCGCCTGGAAATTTCGGCATGGCGGAAAAGCTTCGATGCCTAACCTAAAATTATTGAAAGTCACCTCTGATCACTCATTCAATGCAACTGCGGTTGGAATTTGGGTATTATTTAACAATTTCACAGTATTAATCTAAACACTAAAATAGTACTGATCATAATAATAGAGATAATAATGAAGGGCAAGACTGCTGGCAATTTTTCAAACGGTAATAATGAATAACGAAAAAATTGGATGTTGGTAAGTTCTCTTTCCAAAACTCACAGCAATATTGATAAATCATCTAAAAAATACCAGGTGACACAAGCGCAAGAGACTGTAATTGCTGAAATTTTGATATTCTATGATGATGTCGTATTTTTCGTGGATTGGTGGTTAACCAAAAAGGGGCATACCTTTCTCATTTTTAATGGAAGCTTCACTTCGTAATTATCTTTTGAATCACGTTTCACAAAGCGGCATTTGTTTTTCGATGAACACTCGAATTTTCAACTTCATTTTACCTTATGTTGCATGGTTGTTTGGAGAATTGTGAATTTCAAGACAAATACAATTGGCTGATGGAATCTCCTATAGATTCCAAGATTGTATCTCATTGATCAAAAAAATTACTGGATTATGTGTTTCTCAATCACCCAATATATATCATTAACCCTGGGCCGTACTTGCCAAGGATTCCTACATTTTGTATATTTTATTTTAGCAAAAAAGATCATGCTACTTATACTTAAACGTTAATGGCAGTCGCCTCATCTTATTTTAAGTTCAAAGCCATCAATATTTGCATTACTGCCGTTTACCATTTACGTAGGTAAAGTAATAAACTGTGCAAGTTTGTTTTTCTACCTTCCATATATAGAGATATGGATCTCAGCATCGGTTACTTCATTTAAATATGCATTGAAACCGTTCAGTTTTTGGAATAAGCGTCAGTAATTGACACGATTGGTTTGAATAAGTTGTAATTACGCTCATAATTGACTCGATCTATTTGAGAGTCAAGTGTAAATATATACCAGCGATGTTGTGTGCCATAAATGGCGAGTAATATTGAAGTATAGAAAAAAATAAGACATGAAACCAACCTCTACTAACAGTTTCTAGTCCTCCAATTGCCCCGTTATCTAATAAGTTTGTTTAACATATCATTAATAATGAGGCCATGGGATTTCAAACATATTATTGAGAATTCAACCCACACTAACAAAGATGAACCCCAAAATAATACTTTCACAAGGAACCCCAGAGAATAAACTGGACATACTTTCATACTTACAATCTTCTAGGGCTCCATATTTATGAGAACATAATCCAGGACATGTTGACATGCCCTCCTTCTCTAGGAAGTTGCATGTCAACATAGACTACCAAATACAGGGTGGTGCAGAATTCAGAATCTTGATCACCCGGTATATGTCCCAATTAAATATCAGTAGATAGTTAATCAAAAGTTGAGATAGGGACATGTAAACCGTTTTGACCAATTATGAATAGTTTCGACACAAAAAATTCTTGAACTTGGAAAATCTCGATTTTTCACACCCTATATTTCAGTAATCATAACTGCTAGACCCCAAGTATGATGGGTCGTTGAAATCAGCTCATCAGGGAGAATCTCAAAATGAAATAATATATAGGGTGTTCGATTGAAAAAAGGTCAACTTCAGTGTTTTGTGATTTTTGGGGCCATCCTGTATGTTTCAAAATAATTTCAAATGGTAGCCTATGTTGACATGCAACTTCCTAGAGAGGAAGAATTCCAAGAAGATAAGTGGTTAGTCTTCTAGAGACCGAGGCGTTACTGGTGGCCCACCCTGTATATTATTAACCATATTTTTCAACTAAGTAAATTTTTTGGCTCTTGGAGCGTACGAAAGAATCTCTATTATGTTCGAGTAACATCGTGCGTATTTCTTAGTATTTCATTCTCATGAATTATGAATATTATTATATATTATTTTTGCTGAAGAATTTCATTAATTTTCACTTCAAAATGAAGTAATAAGATTTTAATCATAGGTATATTTGAGATGGTTGGTAACTCTGTTCCTATAATAATTGAAATTTCAAAATTACTGAAGGGAGTAGCAGAGCTTGAACGATGAGAAATAATCCAGATGGTTTGGAACGATATTTGTTACTCATTATGTTTATGAAATTGATTGCCATATCTCCAAATGTGGTATCAAACAAGTATGATCGGAGTAGTCACAGAAAATAGTTTGAAGGCAATGATATCAATGTGAAAAACGCAAAATAAAAAAAATGTATTCAAAGTATATAGGAATATTTAGTATGGCACAGGTATTATGTACATCACTTGGTAATTTTCAATTTGAACATAATATATCACCGTTTATTGACATAAAAGTAACATTAAGAGATCCCAATTGTCATTTCTCATTATATAAAATTGAAATTATTGTATCAAGACCAGATTTAGTATGTTCTTGTCGTCGTTTCTAGTATCTATAATTTTGAAACACATTGAAATAATTCTTGGCTAAAGTAATTCCTTATTGAAATCATACACCATTGTGTGCCATGTGGTAAACCTTGGACACATCCCAATTGCTGATGTTTGACTTCGGATTACTATTGGTGTTTCGAAATTCCAGCTATCATTTTCATGATAATTATATACACCTGCATGTTTTGTTATGAGCAAGGATCTTTGCATCATAGGTGTTATCTTATCAAATAAACAAGGTAGTTGATAAATAATAGTTTCCATTTTTAATGTTTATTCATTCATTTGACTTAGTATGTCCTTGTTACTATTCTGAATGTTTTCCATTTGTTTCTTGAATTTATGAATTCTTTGGATTATTCGATCTATCTTATTGTGTGCTGCATACATAATTTTTGATAGATCCTTTAATTCTCTGTTATTGATAGTCTAGTTTTGAATAAGAATAAAATACGTGAATGTGCATTCATCTTTGCACTCATTTTAAAGGATTTGTCCATTTTTCATCCATTTGCTATCAGTGAATATCTCAATTTGGATTATTGTGTATCTCACTGTTATCACAATTCAGTTCTCAATTTTAGGTAGGTATGTGCGAAAAACTAACGGAAATATTTCATTTCCTTTGATCTTTTCAGAACAGTCAGATATGTATGGTGCAAAAATAAAAAATGAACAGACCCAGCTTGAAACTGCCGTAGGCAGAGAGTTGAGAAAAAACATACGGACGATTACAAAAATAGGTATGAGCAACAAAAAAATCCAGGCACACTGGATTATGTGTCAGAAGAATTTATTTTGAGTTGAGCTTATTATTATATCCCTTATTTTCAATAGTTGGATAATATACAGGGTGGATCAATAGTGTGACAAAGCGAGATTGCAGCTCTGCTATCAGAGATGGAAACACAAAATTTTCACAGGAGTTGTAGGTCCAAGAGATGCATGTTTCGAAGTATCCTCCATGTGTCTCAAAAAAGTGTGACATATCAAACTTATGTTTTTTTTAAATGGAACGCCCTGTATTTTATTGCATTTTCATATTTTCTCTGAAGAGCTGAACTCAACGATCTAGCACACTTGGGGTCTGACAGGAATGATTACCGAGATATAGGGTGTGGAAAATAGAGATTTTTAAATTTTGACAATTTCTTGGGTCGAAACTATTCATCATTGGTCAAAAGGGCTTCTATGTCCCTATCTTAACTTTCGATTTACTATATACTTATATTTAATTGGAACAGATACAAGGTGGTGCAGAACTCAGAATTCTACACCACCCTGTATTTGTTTAAATTAAATGTCAGTAAATAGTAAACCAAAAGTTGAGATAGGGATCTGAATGTCGTTTCGACCAATAATGAATAGTTTGTTCACAAAAACTTCCCAAAGTTAAAAAATCTCGAATTTCCACACCCTATATCTCGGTTATCATTCCTGCCAGACCCCAAGTGTGCTAGATCGTTGAATTTAGTTCTTCAGTGAGAATATAAATATGCAATAAAATACAGAGTGTTTCATTTAAATATGCCAGATGTTTTTCAGACACACTGTAGAATGGGGAATGATTTTAAAATATGCATCTCTTGGACTCACAACTCCTGTGACAATTTCTTTCTTCTATCTCTAATAGCAGAGTTGCCATCCTGCTATTGGTCCGCCCTGTATATTGCATTGCGCCTATCTTCTCTGAAATGCTCTGAATGTGAACAGCATTTATTCGCGATAGAAAATAAGCGGACGCCACCTATAGGTTTGATAAAACAGGCCACAGCCTTTAGGGCTATCTGGCAAAATTTTGGTCTTTTTGACTTT